ACGAATTTTTTGGCCAACCTAATACATCTAGGCTGATACAGTTGTTCACCCTTAATGGATCATTTAGATTCATACTTAGCTCTCTGAAGGACACCTAAATCTTCTCCCCAACCTGACCTCTCTGAAGAATGATGGATCCTCCCTTCCAATAACTATGTCATCACATGTGACTTTCTTGGTAACTCTTGTCTTACCTTAATTGTCCTGTTATCTCCACTCTCTGCAGGTCTCCTTTCCATATTACACAGTACTGGCCCTCAAACGTCACAAAATAGAAATAGAAAATAACCCAGGCTGGAGACTAGCGAAGAGTACTGACCTCATGAGTCAGATCAGCACTTCGGTTCCAACTCGGACATCAATTTCACTCAGTAACTTTAGGCAAATTACTTATAAAAAATCAAGGAATGGAAACATATAAGAGCTGAAAGGGACTTTCATCCTATTTATTTAAAGGGGAAAAATATCCTAAGCAGCCTTCTATGTGCTGGTCCCTGTGTTAGACTCAGCCCTCTAGCTGCTCACCATCTAATGAAGCCAAGAGTTCGTATCAGACAAGGTGCTTCCCCAGAGGAACACTCAGTAGAGATTACTTGTGAAGCCCCTGGTTTACAGATGAAGATACTATAAACTAGAGTTGGGAAGATACACTAGAAATATAAATCAAAGAGTTCTGAAAGTATTAATGGCTCATTTTTATTGCTGTCTTTGTGAGATAGGTGAGACAAATTTTAAATTCTAGTCTAAAAGCAAGGAATAAATTCATTCACTCATTTATTTTGAAATCTAGATTCAGGCACTGTGTTAGGTGCTGGAAAAACACAAGTGAAAAGAATCATTACAGTTCTCAAGCAGCTCAGTCTAGCAGGAGTCTACACCAAAAAAGCAATAATTATAATATTACAGTAGCAAACTCCATTGATCTGAGATATTGGAAAATATGGGAATAAATATATGCCCCCATTTACCTACAGCACAGATTTAAACACACAAACACATTTATGTACTAATCAATAACTAAGCAGTCCTAGGAACAGACTTGTACTCAATAAAGAAATCCTGAGGAGGAAAGTTGTGACATAAACCCTGCTGTAAACGTGAAAAAAACAAGAAATTACTGTTCTCTTTGCCAAAGTCTAAATCCTGAGAAAAGCAAAATAAAGTGCAACTTAGTCTGAATAGAAAAAGCAACAACTTTCAAGGCAGAAATAAATATCTCTACAACTAAGAGAAAACTAAACATTAAGAGAATGGTCTGAGTACAAGCATCTCAAATATCCTTAGAGGAAAAAATACTATCATTAAAAGTTAATTCCCTTTCCCCAGGTTTACAGACAAATGTTAATCATTATATACGTACAAAACTTGTCTAAACCACTCTCCCTGAAAGACAAACCATTCACTGGTAAGTTAACACATCCTTTGGGTCCTCTTTCTTTTTGAAGGGTATAAAAATCCCTGTAATTTGATAAAAAGCCTCAGGATATGCAGCTCTAAGAATTAAACCTTCCAGAAACCAATGTTAATAAACTAAAAGAAAAAGAATTTTAAAAAGGATATTAATCCCTAGTCCTAAGAAAAAAACTTCTCTACACTTTATGAAAAGTCCCCAAAGATGAAGAACCTATACCCAGAAAAGAACAAAAACAAACAAATTTGCTTAATAATTTCAAAATAAGCACAATTATCTTTCCAGAACAATAACCTCAGGAACAGTTCTGAAATTTTAGACCCTATTTTTCCCATAACAGTAAAGAAATCTGATGGGAAAAAAATGATATAAACGTCTAGGTAACATTTACTTAGGAAACAGCTAACTTGCTTTTTAAGATCTGATGGGAAAGTGACATGCTTCCTTAGTACTTATATTACTGATTTTACTATATATATAAGTAAAAAGTCAGAAAAACAGCCCACTATCTAATCATTTCTCAAGTTCAGAAGTTAGATAAAAGATTCCCAAGTATTTGTATAATCTCTTCCTTGAGTTCCCACTGAATTATTCCAAAATGAAGAGCTTAAGATTTATGAGCAATAATTACAGTAAGTATGTCACTTCAGAACTGATTACTCTCTTTCACAGTATTTTCATGGGCTATTATAACATGTCAGACAACTATACTGAGCAGCTAATCAATTCCAAGCTACCGATAACCATGTGAAATGTCCAAAGCACCTCCATACTCCTGTAGCAATGTCCCAAACCTAGCCTTAAAACAAACCCAGATGCGGGGCCCCATCAGCACCTCAGACTAAAACTAGGGCAAGAAGGAGGGAAAAAAGAAGCTTACAGAAGAGAATCCAACAATGACAATTTATAAAGTCTAAAATTATTTTACTTGTCTTTTATCCCTCCCCTCTCCATCCTCCTACACTATCTAGCACCATTTCTACAACTTCTAAATCCCTTTCTAGACCTCTCCTGACCTGTTCCCTGCAGCTACCAAACTATTTCTCTACTACCTTTCACTCTAATTCTCACAACAGATGTTAACATATTGTAGTTACCACCTTTTCAAGCCCATGGCCTAATTCCTCGTTTAGCAAGCTTCAACCCAGACTACACACCAACTCACCACAATTTATATCCGAAAGTTTTCTCTCAGTTCTCAATTTTCTTGACCACCCAGCATCACCAGATAGCACTGACCACCCTCTCCATGTACAAGCTCTCTCCTATATGGCTTCTGTAACCCTCTCCCAGTTCTCTTCCTACCTCTTAACTCTTCCTTCTCTGCTTGCAGCCCCATGGCTATTGGTCTGCTCTAAATCACAGATTGACCTATACTTCTCTATGCTCTAGCCCAGGTTTCAACTCTTTTATCACCAACTTTGACTGCTTCCTAAACACCAGTAACCTGCTTCCACTGTTACTAGACATTTTTCCTTGCATTCATTCACCAAGTGTCTGCTACATGTTATTAAGTATGTTAAATGTTAAGTATATCAAGATCAAGCTCTACCTTCAAGGACCAAAGGTAAGTAAAAATACATTTAAAATAATGTGTTAATTCGAACACAGACATACAAAGATGAGGAAGAACACAAATAATGATAATGTAACAATGGTTTCCTATATAGAGCTTAAACACATTATTTATGTGCATTTTTTCAATTAATTCTCATAACAATAACAGGATATACAGAACTAAAGGCAAAATCCATTATCCAATTTAATACCAGGTTATATAACTAGCAAGTGAATAATTGGGCATTTGAAGTCAAATTTCCCCGGCTCCAAAACCCATGCTTTCTCTTCAATGTCCAATGAAAAGAAATCTAAATCTGATGAGTCAGGACAGAAGTCAGCTCGGACACCTACTTAAGATCAGTCAATATTTCAAGAGAGTGTCTAATGCCACAATCAAGGAAAACATTGCTCAGAGAAATGACCAACATGAGAAAAAACTTAGAACTTGGATGTACCAGAAACCCTCAAACTCAGTAAGCCTAAAAATAAGCACAGGATCTTCTTCAATTACTGTATTTCATTATTCTAAGGCACACTTGTATTCAAATGTTAACATTTCTGAAACATGATGCTGTGTCATGGTTTAAATGGCATTATTGTTTCCTTTCTTAGTGGTACATAAAACAATGGTGCCTCAGAATTTCTGGTTTCTTAAATTTCATAAAATAAGCTAACTTCCTCCCAAACAAAATCTTCAAATTTAGGTCCTTTGAATCACCAAGATATCATTTTTAAAATATTTCCTCTATACATCCATTATTTTCCATTTTCACAGCCACCACTTTAGTTTAAAGTCGTATCAACTGTGCACAGGTAAAATACCCTCCTCACCAGTCTCCTTGAATCCAGTTTTTCCCTATTTCACATCATCGAGTATAGCACCACCATGGATCAATCTTTCAAAACTACCACTGCACTCATGCTTCTCCCCATCTCTAAAATCAGCTTCTCACTGCACATAAGCAAAATCCCAATCTTGTTTCAAAGCCTTCCATGATTTTGTTTGAGCTAATCTTTACAAACTTTCTTGATTATTAATCAACATAAGCCTTTCACTCCAAGCAAGCTCTTCTGTTCACAGTCCTTAAATGCTCTAATTTGTCTCTTAACCTCACCAGTCCTCCCCTCTGACATACACTCCACCCTGATGCCATTCAAATCAAATAAATGCCAAGGCTCACCTCAAGCTTTATAACCTCCATGAAATTTCCCTCAAGCATTCTAAGCTATGCCCTCTTCGGAAGTTCAGAACATGTACCCTTCTTGAATTGCTATATTTAAATGTTCATGGGGGTATGTCTTATTTCCACAATGAAATTAAAAGGATCAAAGGCAGAGACTATATTTTGCACTTACACAGTGCAGTTTAGTGGTTAATTGCATAGCCTAAGTTTAACTCTCAGCTCCATGAATCTTTCTGTATGACCTTGGGCAAGTTACTTAAACTCTGTGCTTTGGCTTCCTCACTTGTAAAATGGAACCAATAATGGTATGCACCTCAGAGGATTGCTGTGAGAATTAAATGATGATGTAAGACAGTTATTGAAACATAAAAAACTTTGTAAGTGTTAATTGCTATTTTTTTATTAAGAAAAATCACCACGTAAGTGTTGGAAATGATACATAAATGTTAGTTGTTATTATTATTGTTAGTTAGAATCTCCATGTTCATGGTGCCTAAAATAAATACATACCATGTACTTAGTAGTGATTTGATGGAGAAAGCGAGGAGAGGTCTTCACATGAGAGAAAGCTTTTGAGGAAAGTATCTATTTCTGACATTCTAGGGAACAGCTGGAGAAATCTATCCCAAGAATGGCAAGAAATACCTCTTTGGGAATCTACAATGTCTATGTACTCTCAGGAGGAATTAATAGGAGAATGATAGGAAAGGCATTACATAGGAAGCAGAGCTATATGTTCTTAGACCCACATGTACCATGTACACCTGCACTATAGCTTTGTAGCTGAGACTGTCATACCAGGAAAACAAAACTCCATGGTGAGATTAGGATGAACAGGTACTTACTGAGCATGCCTCTGTAATTGAGGTCCATATCCCGGCTCTCTGATCGAACTTTAATAGCATCCAGAATGGCATCAGGAGACAGCAGTCCCGAAGGCCTCACAACATTCAGAAGTTCGGTGAGGCTCATCAGAGGCAAACGCACAGCCTGCATGATTTCAGCATGATTCTCCTTTGAATTGTGCTTACACCAGTTTAACAAGGCTAGGAAAATATCTTTTTCGGGAGCTGCAAATGAATCTCTTAATACGATGTTTAAAAGTGCTGTCTGAAAAGGATAACAAGAAGAAATTCCAGTTATACAGAGCTCAACCATGTTCATTATCCAAAAGAAATGCAAGTGTCAATTATATGTAAACAATTAACTCTTTTTGACCATTTTCTCTCCATCTTTGTGCCATCCACTCTCTTGCACATTGTGGCTGTATGAACACCTGAAGGCATCTTGTACCACTACATCAAACATCGAGTCTTTCTAACACATCTGCACCCATCTTTAATAAAATAACAAGAAAAAAATGGCAACATGAGGAGTTAGCTGTCTTTCCATACACATTCTTCAGGAGAGTTTACATTTATGAGTCAGTAAGATACATCTAGCATTTAAAATTCAAAATCTTTTGTTTCACAGTATTACTGCACTACCATATTTTTGATTCTCAGATTTTCAGTCTGACCTCCAGCAGTACAGTGCAACCCTCAAAAGACCTTGCCTCTAAAACTGAAGTGAATAATAAAAATCATAGTTTAAACTCAAAACAAGATATGTAGTTTTTTAAATAGGTATTCTCATTCGAAATATTCATGTCCTAGGAGGAACACAGAAAGGAAAAGGTTTTCTCTGAACCCTGGAGGTTCAGAGAAAGATTGAGCAAAATAGTTTTACTCTATTATACAGTATAAAATACCACATAATAGCTAATGTTAAGCTAACAAAAATATTGGGTTGGTCAAAAAATTTGTTTAGTTTTTTCCATAAAGACATATTTCTCATTTTCACCAATAACTTTATTGATTTGGTTATTTTGAGTATGTTGGCTACTTCCCACATTGTATATTATAGATTGTTCTCAATTAATGTCTCAAATTGATCACTATCAACTTCATTGGTCTACCTGACAGTGGAGTATCATCCAGCAAGAGCTCCAGCATGAAACTTCACAAACCACTTTTGACATGTTCTATCAGTTATAGCACCTTCTCCATATACTGCACAAATCTTCTATTGTGTTTCAGTTGTGTTTTTACTTTTCTTGAAATAAAGCATAATATGCTGAAAATGTTGACTATTTTCTTCCATCTTCAATATTAAAATTGCTACACAAAAACTCACCAATTTTGATGTTTTTTAAAAATGTACACTGATATGACAGCTGTCACAATACAATCGAACAAAATTGTGCCGAATGCAGTGAAAGACTACTAAGCACTACTAGAGCCATCTTATGGAAAAAACCAAACAAACTTTTAGGCCAACCAAATATAAACAAAACAGTAACTTAAAGATATCCAATGACACAGCTGATCTCCTTTATGAATTTTTTCTCTCATAATAAGGAATTATCCTCTTAATCAAAGAAATACAAATTGAAAAAATAGTATGTAATACTACAAAGAAGCCTGTTTGTTATCACACTGAAAACCACCACCCAGCATCAGCCTCTTTAGCACATCGAATTTACCAGAAGAACCTTAAAAGAAAACAGAAGCAATCTGCCTTTCTCTTACATGATCTAGAGTCTCAGTAGCCAGAGGCAGGTGGCTAGACAGACAACCTCTTCCTCACCTTCGACTTCTATTTTTTATTCTTTGTCCATTGCTACATTTCTACTGTTCAGATATAAGTAAAATAATTCATGTCTGTAAATTCCTTGTAAACAATGACACACCTTAGAAAGGGAGAGAAAGCCTTCACTTGAGAGCACCTCCTGAGCATTTCTGTCCATAAACATGCAGCACATGCAAGTTAACTTGGGAAGTGAGTAGAGACTGGCAACATCAAAAGTCATACAGACATTCTGAATGTTAAGTATGGTGCAGAGATACTCAGAGGTAGAATCCTCCAGCTCTGGAAATCCATATTTGTGAGCCAGGCTCAAAAAGTCCAGCAGCACCTCCTCCTTCTCATCTGTCAACGTTGCCCGCCCAGTGTAAATGTATTTAAGTAGCATTGTGAATGCTTCTGCAGTGGTGTCTTGAAGAGGGATTTCTGCTTCAGGTTGAGATTCTCTCATTCCACCATACAGTAATGCTCTGCATGTCAGAGAAGAAATGCATGAGAAAAACTTCAAATAAGATTTGCTACAAAATTATGAAATAATTGCTATCAACATTATACAAATATAAGTTTGTTCAGTGACATAAAGATTCAGGAAAAGAAATGTACAGTAATCATTTTAAATAGTTCTTTAAAAAATTAAGAGAAGTAATTTTAAAACTATTTTGAATGAATTCTATAGACAACTGGACTAATGAAATACCCTGAAAGCTCAAGATATGTAATAGACATTCATTACATAAAAAGATGTAAGTGCTTCTTTTGAGAAGAGCAGTGAAATCAATATGAACATGTTAAAGACCAATAAGACAGTTTAAAAAGAAAAACTCTATAGAAAAGATACAATCAGATAAAAACGAGCACAATCAGGTACCATTCTTCCCTGTTAGACGGGCAAAAGTTAAAAAGCCTATTAATATTCAGGGCTGAAAAAGCAATGGAAAAACAGGTTCTCTCATATACTGCTTCCAGTATAAATGGGCACCCCTTTTTAGAAAGTAATTTAAGTAATATCTCTTCAAATCTAAAATATGTATACCCTTCAACTCAGTAATCTCACTTTTAGGACTCAGTTCCAGAGACATAATACAGCATGGTTTTAAAAATAAACATATGAGAATGTACACTGAAACAATGGAAACACTGGAAAAAAATCTTAAATGTCCATCAATAGGAACATGATTGAGAAAATTGTAATGTATACATTCTGTGCAGCCATTAGAAAGATGAAGGGAGGTCAATATACACTGCCTTGGAAAGATGTCTAGGATTTACCAGGTTAAGTTGCAGATCCGTATGTGTTGAATAAAAAAGTATACAACATCTACTTATGTGTGTATGCACATAGGTATATAGATAGATAGATAGATAGATAGATAGATAGATAGATAGATAGATCTATTTATATTGAGAAAAAATCAGGGGAAATTCATATGAAACTGTTAACAGTGGTTGTCTCTAGGGACTAGGAATAGATCGCTGGGAGGAAAGGACTTTCAGTGTTACTTTATAAATTAAAAATGAAATTGGTGATAAAATTATGGATGATTTAACTTGTTTTGTCTTTCACTATTTGTCAGACTTTTTAAAAATCCCCATATTATTGCTGATCTACTCATCTAAAAACAATGAAAACTAGACAATTCAGTCATGTAATGGATTTGAATTTCTACCTCTATTACTCTAGAGAAATAATATGAACCAATTAAACTTTCAATCTATCAGAAAAGAAAGGGGAGCCAGAGGATGACAAAGTAGGACCACAGAAAAGGAAGAGTAAAGAGAAAGAACACATGTAAAAGTGAGAGCAAGAGAACAGGTGGTAAAAAGAATTTCCCCCTGCTCCTAACATTCTGAGAGCAGGACTAGCATTTCAGGGTCCCCTCCACACCTGTCAGGAACTCTTCTTACCCTCCCCCAGGATCCAGCATTCTTTCTTGGCTCAGAAAAAGAGGTAAAACCATCTAGCAAAAGAGTCATGAATATTCTAAGCATACCTCTTCATTGGGTATACTCTGCCTAAAAATACCCTTGAAGGTTTCAAGTGATCCAGAGAACTGCCAACCACAACTTTAAAATTACTAGATTAAAAAACACCTTCCTGGGAAGATCTCACCAACACTTACTCCCGCATAAACTATGATATTTACATGGATTCTCAATGCCTTAAAAAGTGCTTCTGATGAAGCCCCTTTGGGACCCTAAATATGAATCCCCAACTTGTGGAAAGCTCCCTCCTGTACGGTTAGTTTGTCCTTCTCTAGGAATTGAGAGGCTCTATGACAACATGTAGCAAAGCCTCTCCTGACTACTGGCAGTTAACTTACCTTTACACAGGAATGGTGTCAACAATAAGAATTTAAGATAACACTGGTAATGACTCGAGTTCAGCCTCATGAGCCATCAGATATTAAGGTTCAATATCCACAAACAGACATCAAGAACAAGGTCAATAAGTGAGGGAGTATGTTCCATTCACTTAATATGGTCTTTAAATTTTTTAAGTATTTGAGTTCATTTAAAGAATATACTGATCACCTAAAAGATACTCATTTATAGTTGTCTCAAATTATATTTGAAAGAAGGTATAAACTATTAACAAATATTAAACATAAAACTGAAACATTCTGACCTAAGAAAGGATTCTTCAGAAAACACTTTAATAGTAATGAGTGGACCAAAAGTAAAAACTGGAAAAGAAATACAAAAGGAAAACTGTGCAGCGGACAGAGGCTGGTAACGAATAATGATTAGACCAAGGCCATTAGCAAGAGGAATAGGAGACTGTTAGCAAGAACTCTTAATAGACTCTTCTTTTTTCTAGGCTTCTTGCTTCATCTACAGTGCACTTTATAGGTACAAGATGGAATGTTCTAAAATTTTTTATAAAATACTACAAAAATTCTCCTTAAACAGTAAGTATTTCTAAGAGACACACTTCACTATGTGACTCTGGGTGTTCCTGCTACACTGTTTCAGTTACTTCCTATTATAAAACCCAGACTGCAGTTTTCACTTGAAGGAAACTGAATTTTTCTCTAAGCCAGTATCTCAATTTTAGATATCAAGTTTCCCAGGCAAATCAATGCTTTTATGGTACAGACTAATGGATTTATCAAAGAGAAATTATCACTCAATGATGATTGCCTTTTAACTAACACTAGGTATAATACAGAGTAATCAGAGCTCACTTTAACATTTATAACCCTGGAAATTAAGGGTTTGAGTAACAAGAGCTACATATAAATACAAGTTGTACATTAATTAAATACATAAATATTTTATTTAGTTTTAGTTCTAGTATAACTATGAAACAGTCTCAGTTAATACTTAAGTTTCCTTTAATTTGGCATCGAACTGCTTGTCTTATATCTGTTGGGCTACCTACAGGTCCTGGACATCAATAGTTTGAAACTAAGAGGTATCTGTGTTCATTAGAAAGTCCAAAGGGCCATCTGTCTACACAACAAGAAGCCTATCTGCCAATGTATCACATTAACTTCCATCAGTAATCGATGGTGAGAAGGTGAGGGCAACAAAAACTCAGCCTAATAAATATTCTTGAGATCTTGAAAACTGATTAATTAGATACAGTCTAGCCTGGGGAGCCTCCTAACCCTGTAATACTAAGATGGCTCCTGAAGAAAAAGGTAATTTTCAAAAAATAACAAAAAGTCTACAAAGACAAAATTCTTATAGATGTTGAAGGATTGCCAGTATTTATTGTTATGCTTTGTTATTTTTTATAGACTAAAAAAATACCAATGTTTATGCAAGTTAACTTGAATCTTCAAAAAGTATTACAGACTTACCGAAAATATTGGCACCTCGCTGCTAAAATTACCCGGTGGGCAGGAAAACGTTTCTTTTCCACAACAAATGTGACATCACCATATTCTTCCCCAATCAACAAGGCACCAATATGTTCAGACAAAATGTGCACATGATCAATTTCCCCCACTGCAGTAAAGGGGCGAAGAGGATGGCTGTTACTCATCTTGTAGAAGAGGTAACAGTGGATCTAGTTTAAAGAAGAGATGAGGGTTAGTGGTTGGGGGGAGTACATGTAGAAAATCATATACTATAAACACAGCTAAGTAAAACTTAAAACTACTTTAAAACACTCATATAAGAGATTTCATCGTTACTGGTATATTTATTAACCCATTTATTCTGGGAAGTAATTCACCTTGCTTCTGTTAACTCTACTACCTTCACTGCCTTATCACACTAGGAAAGCAAATATAAAGGCCAGGGTCCTCAAACACTAGCAGTACTTAGAGCTACCCCAATCTAGAACTCTGCACCCAAATACAGATTCCTTACTTCTCAGTACCTCAGGAAAATGAAAGTCAGCTACCAGAAGAACACCTCTTTTAGCACAGATTTAATAAGGTAGAATGTAATTAAATATACCCAGCAGAAAGACATTTAGGCACAGATCTAGATCTAAATCACAAAAAGAATAAACTAAATCATCACATTTCAAATACTTTCAGAGGTTTTGGTCTGAAACCATCTTAAATATCTTAGAAAAAAAACTATAATCTTCTGTATTCACAAAAATATCTTGACATTTATTAATGAAAATTTATAGCAAGCATCCTAATCCCCCTCAAAAGAATAACCCCAAATACTTTTCTCAAGACCAAACATTCATCCCTAATGATCACACTGCCTGTGTCTACCAGGACATCATTAATTTAATCTCATTTACAGGCACTTCCTTGCTTTTGTATGCAATGCCCTACAACAAACATTAACTGAAAAATCAAAAAGCTAAAACTTAAAAACTTTACATATTAGAAAAGGAAGTTATATGCATCAAAAGCCAATGTTTATATTCTTAAATCTCTAGTGTACGTGCAGGTACTGTTTTTTCAGGTATAAGTAACCTATTAAGTGGATGAGAGCCTTTGCTACCACTCAGGTGCCCTAAGAGCCAGCTATCCTCCCTTGTGCCAGAGTCTAGGGGAATTGTGCCAGATATGCTCTCTCCACTAACCCTCCACACCTTCTAAAACTCTCCACTTGGACCAGGAAGAATGAAAGGTTAAACTACTCCTAATCTTTAAACTTTCACCACCAGATCCATTATTAGCAAAGTGTATGAAAAATGGTCTTTATCCCCAAAGACTGCAGTGGAAGACCCAGGTTCTCCAGTTACTTGCTACATGACCACCCTAACTGAAGGATCAACAGCAAGGACTGTAATGCAGCAGAACCCGGAGGACGACTTAGGCAAACAAATACCATCCCAGGTAAGTGAACAAGCTCCTGGTCCCCTATGTTAGGAGCATCAAAGGACTAGCAACATACTACCCACATTGCCAAGGCAAATGCCTTTCCCTCAACTGCAATCTCCACTGGAAAGCCCTAAAAACGGAATCATCTCCACTCACCTGTGTATGAAAGACAACTTAAGAGGATCACTGTAAGGAGTGTCAGCAGATCATATGAGAGTCAATCATTTAATGTGTGATATAACAGTCTAACACAGAAATTGGCAAGCTTTTCCTTGCCAATTGGCAAAAGGGTCAGACAGTAAATATTCTGGGGCTTTGCAAGCTGCAAAGTCTATGTTACAATACTATTCAACTAAAAGCAGTCACAAACAATAATTAAATAAATGCTCATGGCTATGTCCCAGTGAAACTACTTACAGGAGAAGGCTGGACTTAACTTACAGGCCATAGTTTGCCAACCCCTGCTCTAAGATATGATCAAGGTCTGACGATGACCTAGACAAAGTTTCAAACTGTTTTTGTTTTTTGTTTTGATTTCTGACTAGGTTATCCAACCAATGTTCAAAATAACATGGTCATTTCCTATATCAACGATGAAATTCTGAAAGCAACTCATACCTGATTTCAAAATTCCATTCCTCCTCAACATAAATTCTGACATCACTATCTAATCCTTCAATGACGGTGCATGGCTCTGAACTAAACTGATGCTTTCCTGGCTGAAAAGATGCAATGCATATACACGAATACCTCAGTTTCAGACCAGAGCAATAAAGTGAGTAGAGCAGTAAAATAAATTGTAATGTTTCCTGGTAGAGGTTCTTACCTTCAATTTGTAAAAAATGCAACATCTGCGAAGCACAGTAAAGAGAAGTGTAATAAAATGAGGTGTGCCTGTACCCAGTGAATATATTCTCTGTGATAATACTCTTATGAGTAAGATTCAAATGACTGACTAAATGATTCTTCCTTTAAACAACTGATAGTCAATTTATTAAAAACGTTGACTTAAGTATCTGCAATGGTGACTTCAACCTCCACACCTGGCTCAATACTGATGGATGTAACCTGCTCAACAATCTCAGAAGGGCTGTGCAAGTCAATGAGTCTCTTGTGAATCCTCATCTGAAATGGATCCCAAGTCTTAGAACCCTCCCCACAGGGAGTTTTTCTTGTAGTGATTCTCAGAGTCCTGGCAGGCATCCGAACTGGTCCTGTCACTTTGAGATCCTTTTCTTTTGTGCCTCTGATCAAGTCAGCACACACCTTCTCCAAAGACTTTATACTGCGGCTGGTTAGAGTAAATCTTATTTGGTGAATTGCCACCTCTGGCTCCATGGATGTCTTTCTGGTATCTTTAAAAGCCATTGCTGCGGCATAGCTTCCTGACTGACTTGTTCCTTGGTGAGAGTGAACAGAAGTGAGTCAGGAACAGGAGTGGGTGGGACAGCACTTTGCTGCAGCTGCAACCATGTCTTCCTCAAAAAGCTACTAAATAACTCTTGACGCACAATGACTGGTTTTTGGTTAGCTAGCTCAAACATAAACTTATAATTCTTCAACTGATACACAATAAGCATTAATACTACATATGTAAATATCATCTTAGTAGGTTCTCTAGATCTGTATTTCTTAGTCATAAAATTTCATTTGTTACATGTATATTTTAATTATGCTTTTCCAACTAGAGACATAAAGCTAATATTGCCAGGTATAGAAAATAGCCACTTAGTATGGTATAAACACAAATTTCATTGGCATATAGAAAAAATTTTAATTAGAACAGTGATTCTCAGTGAGCTTGCCACATGTTGGAATCCCATAGAGAGTTAAAAAGAAAAAGAAAAAAAGAAAAAAAGGATGCCTGAGTCCCACCTATCAGAGATTCTGGTTTAATTGGTCTGGAATGTGTAATCACTATTCTGAAGTGATTCTAATGAGCCACTGATTTAGAGTCTGTTGTAGGTCCACAGCCCTTACTGAGGTACACAAATACACAAATAAAATACTAGCTGAGAAAATTCATATAATTCCATTTTGAGCCTTATTGTGAAGAGGCAAATGATGCTAACAGTTACCAATGCCACAACTTCTGTACAGAAAACATTTTCACCCTCTGCTGTAGCTTATCTACATAGTTTGGGTCCACTGCTTGCTTTTAAAAAAGTATGTGTTTTAGAAAACAATAACCTTAATTTTTTAAACAACCAATTTTAATTTGAAAGATAAAATTGAAAAAAATGTAAGTGTACAGGGAAAAACTGATTACTGACTTGTTTCTTAAGTTTTGAAACTTATCTGCCACTAATGACACAGGTGATCTTTAACAAATTTTCTAACTTCCATGACATTGTTTCCACACCCGTAATGATTATATTAGGGTTTTTTTAAGTTATACATTTTTAACTTTGCCACTGCCTTTTAATATCACTGTTTTGGCATGTCATATGAAGTGAACTCCCATGACTTCAGTATATGGTTGTACTCATGACTGTTATTCATTACAGCAAAAGAACACAGAACAAAATCAGCAAAGGTTTTGAAAAAATACATGGGGCAAAGTCTGAGGAAAACCAGGCACAAAGGTCATCTCCAATGGAGTTACACTGGAGATACTTAATTCCCCCACAAAGCTGTGACAGTCTGTGTTAGAGACTCAATGACCATGGTGTTTAATGGGAGGTTGTTAGTGTAGGTAGCCTTTCACTGGTATGTATCCAAATTCCAGATTCCATGAAGGAAAGCAGTGTTCAACATAAACCATACTGTTTGTACAGCTTAAATGAGCCACTTCCATCAAGTAATGACAGGAACCCTTCTAAAATCCAAGTTTCCAGATGCTAGACAAAGGGCAATTTTGCAAGCAGGCTTTCTAGAAATAAAAGTTTAATCCTACTGTGTTAACGTATTTTGTATAGCTCCAAAACCACCAGAGGATCTAATGATGTTAGAAAAAGCACTGAAAACAGAGTCTAAAAACCTATCTGATACACTTATTTAATCTTAGATTTGGAGAAGAGAAAGTATACTAAAAAAATAACCTACCCCACCTGCCCTGACCCCTGACCTCTAAATATGCCAGATTCAAACAGTTGTATGGACAGTTTTCTTCAAAACTTTAAGGATCACATAATTCCAATGTTAACCTATTCCTGTGCACAAGGGAAAAAGTAAAGTTTTCTGCTCCTTCTTATGAAGGCACTATAACCCTAACACAAAGACCATAATCACACACTCAAAAAGCAGTATAAGTGAAAAAAAAATAATCCTATGTAAACTATTGGGAGATGGGATTAAGCAAAAGGAATCATGACAAAGTAGGTCAATTCCAAAAGGATGAAGAGTATTAGGGAAAATATTTGTCATCTAATTAAAAAGTCAAAGAAGAAAAAAGTCATGTAAATAATACAATAATAGCTAAAACACCTTTTAATGCAATCATTTAGTTTACTTTCAAATGTTTTTAACTGAACAGAAATAAAAGGATCCATCCTTTATTTGATACCTACATACACAGCCTAACTGTAACAGATGTGAGCAACTAGTTAATAATTAGGCACTAGAAACATTCCTAGAAAGTTCAGAAATAAGGTAAGGGTGTCTACTCTTATCATAATTTTCAAGAACAAAATGTTAAGTGAAATAAGTCAATCAAAAAAGGCTAAGAACTATATGATTTCACTCATATGTGGGATATAAAACTGAAACTCAGAGACGCAGACAAAAAGAGTATGGTGGTTACCAGATGGAAGGGAGTGAGGAAATGGCAGAGGGTAAGCAGGGCCAAATACATGCTGACAGAAGATGACCTACCATAACTATGGGTGGTGAGTACACAATGCAACATACAGATCATGTATCATATTAATGTACACTTGAAATCTATAGGACCCTATTAACCAATGTCACGCTGATAACTTAAAAAAAAAAACACACACACAATGCAATAAAGAAAACCAAGTTAAAGCTAAATGGATGATGAAACAAAGAAACAAAATAATCACTATTGCTGATAATCTGATTGCCCCATAAAATATCCATGAAAATCAACTGAAGAGGTATCAGAGAAAATAAGGGAGGCTAACTAAGCTGCCACACAAAATTATTACATGAAAATGTATGAAATCTTTCCATGCCAAAACAACCATCTAGAAAATGAGGGGGAAAAAACTGCAATTTATAATTGGAAAACACACACAACACACAGAAATAAACTCACAGAATGTGTAAAGGAAATTATAAAACTCTACTGAGGAATTTAAGAAAAACAAATGTATATACATTATTTAGATAGAAAGATACAATGTTGCAGAGACCAAACACCTCTAAATCACTACATAAAAAGCATATTTAGTATTTTATTGTACTTTATACTGTGAACAAAAACAACAGTAACAGCGAAATTTAGCCAAACATTCTTGGTAGGAATACAATTAAAAACCAGTAATTTGACAAACGGGTACACATATTAGAAAAACTGAGAATGAGTGACAATTTTATATATTTTTTTAAAATCATGTTTATTCTATTACAGTTGTCTCAATTCCACCCCACCTTTGCCCTCCTTCACCCATCCCACTCCCCCACCCCAAAAGTCAATTCCCAGAGTGATGTTCATGTCCATGGGTCATTCATACATGTTTTGTCTAGTCCCTTCTCCTCCTTTCTACCACTGTCCTCCTTCCCCAACCCCTCTGGTCACTTTCAGTCTGCTCCATGTTTCCACGCCTGTTGTTTATTTTCTTGAATAGATTCCACTTATAGGTGAGATCATATGGTACTTGTCTTTTACCGACTGGCTTGTTTCACTTAGCAAAATATTCTCCAGTTCCATCATCCATTTTGTCGCAGAAGATAGGAGTTCCTTCTCTCTTTTTATTAAAAATGCAGATTGATTTTACTTATTTATTTTTTTAAATGTAAAGATCCATTATAAAATATTAAAAAATTCAAATCCATTATAAAGTCTCAGCAATTAAAACAACATGACACCAGCACAGAAATACTCAAGTAGATCAATGAAATGAAATGAGCATTCTAAAACAAATGTATATATCTGTCTAACAAATGTAATATATGATTGAATTGTTATTTCAAATCAATGGGAAAAGCAAGGCTTATTCAACAAATAAGGTGCATGAACCACTATTACTTGAGATAAAACAAATATGGAGCCCTATTTCACACATTCTACAAAAAATATTCAGGTGAGTTAAAAATCAGTATGTAAAATCTAAGGGGTTGTAGGAGAAAATACAAAATAATATTTACCTTACCCTGAAGTAAACCATTCAAACCCAGAAGCTGTAAAATAAAATACTGACAATATGACTATATTAAACATTTAAGACTACACAGTAATATACATATAAAAAAAGTTAAGGGACAAATAATAGAATAGGAATGCATTTGCAACACATCTAAAAAAGGGTTAACAGTTTTTCTTTTAGGGAAAAAATTCTACAACCATTTAATCAAAAAATGGATAAAGAATACCAAAAAGCCATTTAAAGCTTTTAAAAATAATAGAATTAGGCAAGAAATATACAAAACAGGTTTAGTTTCAACAAATAATAAAGAAGCAATTAAAATAACACGTCATTGTCACAATCAGATTAATAAGGATTAAAAATATTGGTAACATCAAGTACGGGTGACTGTGATAGGACCCGGGTATGCATAGGCTCTTTCTCTTCATCTTCTTAAAGCAGTCCCTTTAGCATATCTTGCAACGCTGGTTCAGTGGAGGTGTACTCTTTTAGCCTTCTTTTGTCTAGGAAACTCCTTATTTCGCCTTCCATTTGAATTGAGAGCCTTGCTGGGTAGCGTGGTCTTGGTTGCAGGCCTTTGCTTTTCATGACTTGGAATATTTCTTGCCATTCCCTTCTGGCTCGTAATGTTTCTGCGGAGAAGTCAGCTGCTAGCCGTATCAGGGCTCCCTTGTATGTTACTACCTGTTTCTCCCTTGCTGCCTTTAGGATTCTCTGTTTGTGTTTGATATTTGCCATTTTAATGATGATGTGTCGTGGAGTGGGCCTCACTGGGTTCCTCTTGAATGGGACCCTCTCTGCTTCCTGGGCTTGTGTGACTTCTTCTGTCCTCAGTTTAGGGAAGTTTTCCATCATTACTTTTTCAAACAGGTTCTCTATCCCTTGCTCCTCTTCTTCTCCCTCTGGTATCCCTACTATACGGATGTTATTACGTTTCAGGTTGTCCTGCATTTCCCTAACTGCCTCTTCATTGTTTTTGAGTCTTTTTAAAATTTTCTTGGTATTTCTGGGAGCCTTGACTACCTTATCCTCCAGCTTGTTGATTCGATCCTCTGCTTCACCCAGCCTACTTTTGATTCCTTCTACTGTGTTCTTCAA